GCCCCCCCGGGAGGGAGAAGAGGGGGCTGCGGGGGTCGTGCCTTCAGCCGGAGGGATGGGTCCTGCTCTCGGTCCAGCTGGGGCTGGAGAGGGGGGTTGAGAAGGTCCCCTCCTGGCCGGGAAGGGCCGAGAGAGACGGTCCCCCCGTCCCGGTCTCAGCCACCCCGAGATCCAAACTGCCGCCGGGGCTGTTGGTTGTGGTGCAAAGGTGTGCTGGAGCCCAGGAACACAGAGCAGCCCGAGTTTCGATTTCTCTTCCATCGTGGTGATCGTTATTCATCCCGGATTCACCCACACCTCCACCCTGCCTAGGGCAGAAACAACTGTCCAGAGCGAGACCCCTAAAATACCCGACACGGGTGGTGCCCCTGCCCTACCAGCCAAAGCCCCCTCTGAGTTTTAAACAGGCACATCAGCCCCGGCACAGAAAACTGCCCTGATGCAATTCCGACCGCTTTCGCATAGGATGCAGTGGGAAAACAAAAAAACGACAGCAAGAAGGCTGCATTGAGGAGCAAAGCGAGTGCGTTTTACCAACAGTTAAAGCAAACGGTTGAATAATCCAGCTCTTCTCAGCTTGGCAAGAATATTCCTCCATACAGCACAGAGAACATAAGCCTGAAGACAGGGCCCATATAACTTGTTCATTGAGCTCTATATATGTTAAAATTCGTAGGTGCCACAATGGGAAATAAACACTTCTCTCACCACCCACAAAGAACAACTCTCTTCCAGCACATCCTGCCTGTTCTAACCCAGGGCTCTTGGAGTGGCCTTTCCCAACAAATCCTTAAGGGATGAGCCAGGGGCAGGGGAAGCGCCTGAAACCTGGTCAGGGGGTGCACACACAGGATCTGGCTCGAGGGAGATGCTCCAAACACAAGGTTCTCCATCGAGAAAAGCGAGGCTGGCGCGGCTAAAACATCCTTCCCCATCTCAACTCTGCCGTGGGGCAGAGGAATTCACGTCCCGCAGCTTTCCCAAGCACATCACTACGCTCCCAAACTCCCCCCTTTGCACAAGCCCACATACCGGGAGGATGTCAGCGACAGCACGAAATCCCTGAGCAAGAGCCTCTTGACTCCCAACACCTCTCACTCACTTCAGGGAAACTACAATTCCACGGGGCATCCGTGAGCTCCACACTCCTTAAGGAAAAGCTTCACACGCTTTCACTGGCTATTCGAGAGAAAGCACAGGAGTTCCTGTTATAAACCCAAAGAGAAAACAGGCTTTTGCTCCAAGACCAATTGTTTGTACTTCGGCGTTACGAAGACAGGCTTCTCGTCCTTCTTGGCAGAAAGCTGCGGCACAAGGTGGCATAACCACCACTGGCAGATACATTCCCAGAGTGGTGGGAGCCTGATAAGTTCAAAGGTTTCTGTTATCGGACCCAACTCTTCCCAGTCAGAGTCAAAGGGCAAGACCGCATTCAGAGAGAACATAAAGAAACAGAAAAACAAGCTGTATTTTATACATATTATCCAAACAAGTGATAAAGGGTTTTCTCCTCCAACTAAATACGTGATATAATTCACATACACAGACCTGGAGACTTCTGCTACCTCCTAACACGTAGACATTACAGCTTTTCATCGATCACAAGAAACTCAGGGGATTAGGGGTCAAAACAAGCTAGTTCACAAGTGTAGAAAATTGAAGACAGCTTAGAAAGGGTCCCGAACACAAAGATTTTCCTCTCATGAATTTGCTTTCTGTCCATCTGCGTTTGAAGAGCCACCCCAACCATCCCACCAGAAAGCAGTCGCCACCATAAAAGTTGACGACTCTACAGGTTGCTCCTTCAAATGGGTCTTCAGGGATTGCTGGATTTTGCCTCATTGCTTTACAATACCATTGTGCTTACTGGAACCAGACACCTAAGAGAAGAAGGTTATACTATATACATGAAAAAACAAAAATCAAGGAAAAGATCTCTAAAAATACGTTCTCGAATTTCACAAAATGCTCCAATCACTCAGGTTTGAGGAGTAGTTCCGAGCCATGCTGCAGCAGAGATCAAGCTAAAACCAGGTTTGTTGCAAAAAAAGCCCCAAAAACTTTTAAAAAAAAAAAAGAGGCCAGGTCAGCCCTTCCTCTGGGTTGCTGGGCTTTCCCCTGCAGAACTGCACTTGTCCCCTGCAAGGACATTCCGTGTATCCAAACAGCAACAACCCAGATCTGCTGACAAGGAGGCAGTGTTCGACGGGCCAAGCGCCTCATAAAACCGCACGCGGGGTGACAGGGCGGGAACACACGCTAGGGCAAACCCAGAGGAACACCTAAATGTCAGAATCCATACAAGCACTAATCAAAGCTTGTATTTACAGGGGGATTGAGGCATCGAATCACAAACACCCAGGGAGCCTCACATGACCACTCATCAATCCTGCATGACACCAGCAACAACGTTCAGACACGCAGCAGAAGCTGATGATCGGGTGTGAGCCGAAAGCATCGTCACTGGGGACAGAAGGAAGCAGCTTTTTGTTTTTGGAGGAAAGATCTTTTGTTTCGCCACCGAAATCTGTGCTACCGTAAAGGCGAATGCACTGCAAGCAGGAAAGCCAAAGTCCTACAGAGATGACTGAGGCGGCTGAAGCCAGCGACGCTCTAGAAGGTATTTTTAAGTTTGGCCGCCACGAGGACGAGAATCTCTCCGATCTTTTTCTGCCAATTCTCTATGTCCTTGGAGACATCACACCAGAGCTCTCCGTGGCGAGGTTCAGCATTCTCACAGCGCTTCCTCACCTCTTCTTGTTGTTCCTACAAGGAAGAGAAACAAAAGTTGGCAAATCTCTTTGCTTTGTTCCAGTACAAAGTCAAAAATTTAATAATCCCCTCCCCAATTCAAATGCTCTTCCAAAGCTTACGGTGGGTTTCTTGGTTTGTTTGTTTAAAGGTGGAAGGGAAGCCTGAGTCAAAAATCCAGAGGAAGCAACCCTCCTGCTTCACTGAGCAAACTGGCCAAATTACAGCCAGGCAAGTTTTGGCTACACCAGAGAAACCGCAGCAGAAACTTCCTTTGCGTTATCACCTGCGTGAGATCTGTCAAGTGAGAGGTCTCTCTGAAGTCAAAAGATAAACACTCCCATCATTTCGGTAATATCAGGCAGTAAAAACCGCCGTGAGAGATTAGAACAGACTGTTCCTCTGGCTGTGTTCACGTGCAAACTGTACTTGACACTTGGGGAAAAAACGGGACACAGACCCAGCATCGCCATCACAGGAGCACCTCCGATGAGGAAGCTTGGATTTTGCAGAAGGAAGATCGGTTTCGCAGATTTCTGCGCAAACCAGCGCGACTGCAGGAAGCAAAGCAGCCTGAAAGACAGCTCAGCTAACGAGGGAGTCTCTTAAAAACCACCCCACAGGCCTATTCATGCTCATTCATGACCGGGCTTGATGGCTGTAGCCTCATCCACGAGCCACACAGGCTCAGCCCAGCGCTGCCGCGATTCCCAGGACCTGCTCCCCATTCCCAGGCACGTTCTCTCACCTCTGTGCCATGCTGGAGCTCAAATTTGTAAAAGAAAGCCCAGGCATCCCCCAGGTCAGAGTCTATCTTCACTGTCCGGTGGAACCATTCTCTGGCCTTGGTTATTTTCCGCTCGCTCCAGAACAGTCTGAGGAGAAAGAACAAGAAGTGAGTTGACAAATCACCAGGTGTCAGTCTGCAAGCGCTCCAACTTAAAGGCTCGGCAGGTATTTCAATTCTTTGCTCTCCTGAGCAGGAAAAGAGCAGATTTCGCAGGCGTTTGCTGATTGTCCTTGCCCTGGGAAGGGAAGAGATAAGAGAGGACCAAAAGGAACGTTCCCTCTTCGCTCTTGCCCGGTGAGGAAGGCTGACTGAGCCCCAGGGGCATGCAGACACTCCTGAGAAGGGAAATTATTACTCTCAAAGCTCCACCTTTACTAACTCAATTGCTTAGCGTTGCTGTTTTGGATCTGGTGTACAAAGAGACGGGACCATGGGCCTACATCTATCTCCCCTCTTCTCCAATCTCTTCTTATTCCAAGTCGACTTTAGATTCTAACAACTAAATAAACTCCCAAAAGCCGAAAAATGGGACTCAGGTTCCTGGAGCTGCGGCCGCGTGCGGTCACATCCACGAAGCGTGCTCGGGCGGAGCCGACCCGCCTTGTCTGCTCCACTTGATGAGAAAGACAAGCACTCAAGCTTCCTCGCTCAAATCCCAGTCTGGCATCCGGCCCCGTTTCATCAAGGTGCTCATGAATTCTGAAATTTCTCCCCAGTAATTAAGCAGCTGAGTCAATAATCTCTTGGTTTCGCGCCTTTGCATTAAAAGAGTTCATTTGAGCTAGTGAGGGCTTTATCAAATCAGCCAGCCAGCCCTCATAAAGAGCTTAGCCAGTCGTAAAATTATACAGCTTATGTGATTGTTTTTAAGCCCTATAATACTCTTGATTGTTCCGTTTAAATAAACTGTGATTTGAAAAAGAGCACGAACAATGATAGTGGAGGTGCAACACCTGCAGGTGCTGGCCATTTTCAGCAACACATTTAACAAAGTTTTTTCCGAGACGCGTGATGCCGTGGCGTTATGTACCTACAGGCGAGTCGGGAGGGGAGGTGGAAGCTGTTTGCCTTGGGATTAGCTGCTAAACTGTCTGAGGTCGCACCAGAAGGGGCCTGGAGGCAGTTTCCATAAAGGAAAACTTAATATTTTTCTCACTTGCCGCTAAAGCAGAACAAGTCAGCTGTCAGGATCTGGCAGAACCCAGCGTTGCAGTCACTGGAGTGTATCCTACAGTTTTCTTTGGCTTTATAAAACTGAGTTGTGAAAGAATTGGGCAACTGTTCGGGCAAAACGCTTCCTGCATTAACCTCTTCTGGTATTCACAAAGGAAAAAAAAGTGAGTTTGTTCCAATCACGACTGCTCTAGAGCCATTCACGCATCAGATCGGGCGTAAGTCAGTTCTAATTGCGGTTTTTCATCACTGGAAGCTTCTAGGCAAGAAGACAATTTCTAGCAGATTATCTTCCCATTTCAGGGAAGCAAACTCCAGCATGACTGGCAGTCTGCATTCCAGGAAGGGCCACAACTGGAGAGAACTGACAGAGCAGAAATTCAGGAAGGGAGAAGACAACAGCATAAAATTTAGCTCAGGATAAAAAAATAATTAAAAAAAAAAATCTATATAAAATCTTGCAGAATCTAGGCTAGAGGGAAAACCTGAAGAATAGTCAGCCCGTTACAAAAACTGGGAAACAAGCAGCAAAAACTGTCACTATTTTCACAAATGTTTAAAACATATCCTGAAACCACAGAATCACACGGTCGTGCTCATGTGCAATGTTTCATCGTGGCTGCAGCCATCACAGAAACGGATATTTTTACTACGTCAGGCTCGGGAACTCACTTGGCCACGGCCAACAGGACATGTGGGTCGTGTTCACACTTCTTGAGGGCATCCACGCTCTTGGTCTTCCGTTGCGGTCGCGCTTCAAGGAAAATTGCCTCTGACCACAGGATTCCTTCAACAAGTCAAGTAGGAAGACTGTTCAGTGTTATTTGTGAAGTTAACCCTCCCCGTCCCGTCAGCAGGTCCCCACTCGTGCCCCAATCTCATCATAGAACTGTCAAGGTTGGAAGGGAGCTTAAAGATCATCCAGTTCCACCCCCCCTGCATGGGCAGGGACAGCTCCCACAAGATCAGGCTGCCCAGAGCCCCATCCAGCCTGGCCTTAAACACTCCCAGGGATGGGGCTGCCACCCCCTCTCTGGGCAACCTGTGCCAGGGTCTCACCACCCTCATGGGGAAGAACTTCTTCCTAATGTCCCATCTGAACCGATCCATCTCTAGCTTTAATCCATTCCCTCTAGTCCTACCACTAACCGACATCCTAAAAAGTCCCTCACCAGCTTTCTTGTAGGCCCCCTTAAGACACTGGATACATCCCAGATCACTCTTTCTTTAAGGATACTTCATTCAGCACTCTGAATTCTGAGCTGACGCTTGCACCACGCCAGACCTTCAGCTCTGAAGGTCTCCGTACCACAACCCCGTGGCAGCTCCGGTGCTCCCCGTGCTAACCCCGAGCTCACACGTTTTCAGACGAGACACAACAGGGGAGAGCGAATCAGCATTTCAGAAGGCATCCACTTGTCAGAACAGAAAACTGCAGAAGACACAGAAGGTGCAAAGCACACCGTTTGGAAGCAGTTTCAAGGGTGCCAGAGAGTCTTATTGATGCTGGCTCTCCCCACACACGATGAAGGACAGAAGAGGTCCAGGAAAGCCGGGTTTAATCCCTAGTTCCTTTCACTGCCAAAAGCAAGGAAGGAAATACGCTCAGAGAAGCATGAAATCTTTAGTTTCTCCTGTCAGCCAGCCATACCTGCCGATCACTTCAAAGCAACACTTGAAAGCTCGTGTCTGCCAGGACTCTATCAAAGCGCTCTCACTTCCCATACACCGCACCACAGGAAGAGTCACGAGCTGCGATGACTGCAGCGACAGAGCGGAGCAGAACTCTCCTCTTCTCACTCTTTACATATAGAGTCAAACCACACTTTTCAGGCCTCTATATTCAGAGGACACAAACCCCACTATATTTCAGTTTTACTCTTTGTGCAGCTGCCTTCATCAGCCCTAAGCATCAACTCAGCAACTGAGGGACACACGTCTCTGGTTTACAGGACTGCAGGTGTCCAGTGCGCTAATTCCTACAGACTTTTACTCTAGTTTGTGGAGTTTTAAAGTAGAGTTCAAAGTGATTTTATGTAACGAAAAACTGACATCCTGCTGCCCATTTCCACAGCAAGAGGCAGATTCTGTACAAAAGCCTGTGGTGGCAAACACTCATTAAGCATTAGGTCATTCACAAAACAAAGTGGGAACTGGGTGGCCTCACTTTGTTGACCCATGCGCACAGTGAGTAGCTTGCCCCGAGTTTATCAGGTCATAAATTAATTCCCAATTATTTCACTAGGACTTAAGCAGCTGCCAATTAAACACCTTCCAAAACCCAGCCTGAAGGCAAGCTAAAAAAGCTTGCCCTGCAGCAGACCATGCTTCATGGTTATGTGACATCTTCTCTCCAAAGATGTCAACGTGTTTAAATAATTAAAGCTTCCCGCAATCCTGCCAAAAAATAAGGAAGCGTTAAGCACTTCCTCCTCTCATCCCAAGAGGCAAACGTTTCCACTTCTGGTTAGAACAAATTGACTTACATTGTACGACCTGCTCGACTTCTCTTAAATGAGTTCAAACAATCCTAGAATCACAGACTGGCCTAGGCTGGAAGGGACCTCAGAGATCATCTAG